CTGAGGAACAGGATGGGAGGGGCAGAGGCAGACAGGAGCAAGAACTGGGTCAAGAGCAGACAGACAGAGACAGAATCATAACAGTAACAATATTTTAAGTTACATCAGGCCAGGCCAACCAGTCGATTGCGATCGACCGGTCGATCTTCAGCTGGTTAGCAGTCGATCARAGAGCAATCGATCACTTGTAGAATGCAACATTGTTTAACATTGCAGCCTTGAACGTGCTCTTGTAGAACGCAACGTTTGTTTGTTTAACATTGCATTCTTGAACGCGCACCCCCTTGCCCTCCCCGTCTTGTAGACATGACCATTCTGGCGAGTTTTGAGTTCACGAGACTTTAGGTTCAGTAGAGTTGTTGGTGCAGAAAAACATGGATGGAAAACGAGTGAACAAGCAAACAAAAATGTATTATTTTTACCCAGAGTGGGAGGATGAGTATTTTTTTGTTTATTCTAATTCAAAGTCTATTTGCCTCATCTGTAATTCGAATGCTGCCTTATCCAAAAAGGGTAACTTGGAGCGGCATTTCAAGATGATGCACAAACAGTACGAGACGGATTTCCCTCCTAAAAGTTCTTTACGGAATCAGAAAGTGCGGGAGGTCAAAAACAAGCTAGCAGCCCAGCAATCGATTTTCACTCGGCCCAGCACAAGGTAAGACTGCTACGATAGCCTCATACCGTGTTAACCGCATTCTGGCTAAACACAAGAAGTACTTCAGTGATGGAGAAGTCATGAAAGAAGCATTTATTGAGGCTGCAGATGCGCTTTTTCATGATTTTAAAAATAAGTGTGATCGTAGCTGCTATTGAAGGCGTYCAGTTGTCCAGACAAACAGCGACACGGCGATGTGAGGGAATGGCTGTGGATGTGGAGGAGCAGTTAAAAGATATAAAACAATGTGAGTGTTTCTCTCTTCAGTTTGACGAGTCGACCGACATGGTAGATGTGGCACAGCTGTGCTTTTATCAGAATGGCCTTTGCAGACGTGAGTGCAAAAGAGGAACTCCTCACCATCTTGCCTTTGAAGGGACACACAAGAGGAGAAGATATTTTGGTAACACTTTATAATAACTAAATAAACAGTTAAAACTGAAAAGATCATTAAGGATGAGTCACATTAACACACTTATTAATGATTTACACATAAATAATGAGTTCCAAAACAACATACTCAATGTTTATTCATGCTTAATAACTCATGAATTAACTATGCTATCTATATTTGTAAATACTCAAATTAATGTACTTTCACCACATGTATTACATGTGTACTAATTGTTAATGTTTGAATTCACTATTAATCCTGCAATGCATCATTAATATAGGCAGTTGCTATTAATCCTGCAATGCATCATTAATTAAGGCAGTTGCTAGTAGTTACTTAAGTGTATTTGTGAACCCTTCTAAAGTGAAGACTATTCATGCTTTATTAAGGTTTTGTTAATGTTGAATAAATCCTAAATAGCCACAAGTTATTTTGCACTTGTGAAAATCAGACAAAAATCAAGCCAGGAGACATGGAATACCAAAAAACAGGTTTYTATTGACATTTTCTAAAAGTCAATAAAACATACATCTGTCAGTTACAGTAATTTAACATCTGACAAAGATATAGCAGTATAAAACATTGTGTAGTTGTACAATATGGACAACAGCATAAGAAAATCAATGCAAAATGTTTACCCAACCTGCGTCATAAAACACTCAACCTATAGCAGGTCACTAAAGTGGCAAAAATTGTGCCAAAGAAAAATAGTGCGAAACATTTTGGTCACAAATCAAATGAGATCCTTCAAATAATATAATTACAACTCTGCAAGCTACGGCAAAACATTTGCAAACAAAACAAAAAGGTATCAGTATAGATTTTAAATCTCTGAAATGCAAAAATGAGTGTTTTCAAGAAATTACTTGAACTTTTTTGAAATGTCATTAATTAATCTTCCAAATCCCCCATCACAGTGTTTCTTTGCAAGCCATTCATTCCATTCAATGACAGCGAGGTGGTCTGAAAGCAATGTGTCTGTACAATTTCCCCTAAGCCTCCAGATCTGCTCTTTGTATGATCTCCATGCCCGTTCAATACGTTGAGTATGCACACCTGTGTTTGGATCTACATACCATCCACTGTGGTTGACAGTGTGCTGATTATATCCTAATGCAGGGAGTATATGATAAGCACGCCACTCATCACTTATAACTGATGAACCGAACTTCACATGTTTAGCAATCATGGGGACTAGATACCTCCTAGATCTCTTCTGGACAATACATAGTAAGTAAGTAAGTAAGTAAACTTTATTTCTATAGCACCTTTCACAGACACAAACATCACAAAGTGCTTCACAGAAAGCAAAACTAATTAAAAACAATAAAACAGATCACAGATATAAAAACAACA